CCCCAAAACCCCAAAACCCCATTAAAGAAATTGAAGTACAATTCTAGTAATTGTATAATCATCTAAAATTTGATATCATTTTTAAAGGGAATCGTATAAAAACTTTTACTTATTAAGCTAGTTAATTATAATGATCAAGCTAATTTAATAAAGATTTTATCATTCCAGAAATATATCTAAAATGAACGTTCTTGTGATTCCTATGCTTTCAGACAACTTCTGCTACTATGCCTATAAAAAGGATGATATTAGCAAAGGGTTCTTTGTCGATGTCTCTCAACCACCAAAGCTCGATGCTTTCACTCAAGCTTTTGGAATTCCAAAGCCCACTCATATTCTAACTACACATAAGCATGGTGATCACTCAGGAGGAAATAATGAATTGAAAGAAAGATATCCAGATTTAGAAGTAATTGGAGGAGCTAATGATTCTATTCCAGGCTGTACTTAGCCAGTAAATGATGGTGACGTTCTAAATCTTCACGGAATGAGAATAAGATGTCTTCACACTCCATGCCACACCAGAGGTCATATCCTATATTACGTGGAATCTGATGAGGAAAGCAAAGAAGAGACCAAGCATGAAGTATCAAAGGTTAATGGTTACCAAAATATCTCAAATATTAACAGATGTCTATTTACTGGGGATACTTTGTTTATCGGAGGTTGCGGCAGATTCTTCGAGGGCACAGCCGAATAGATGCAAAGTGCTATGGATAGAATTGGAGAGCTTCCCAATGATACTAAGGTGTTTGTTGGACATGAATACACAATCAAGAATCTAGAGTTTGGATTGATGGCAGAGCCAACTAATTCTTTTATTGATTAAAAATCCAAGGAGTACCAGAAACTTTTAGATGAAGGTCTCCACACTGTACCTAGTCTTATTGGCGAGGAGAAGCAATTTAATGTTTTTATGAGAACAAGAGAGTAGAGTGTCCAAGAGTCTTGTGGGTTTGATGATCCCATTAAATGCATGCAGTATTTGAGGGAATACAAGAACTCAGGCACTAAACCAAATCTTTGAGAAAATTCTTGATAATGAGAGTTTTAATTATTTTTATTTCATAAATCACTGATTTTATAGATATATACTTATTCGGGGTTTTGGGGTTTTGGGGTTTTGGGG